CCAAGGTTTATATAACATTGTGGGGTTGAGGCTCTCCAGATAAGGTAGAGAAGGGGAAGCCCTACTGGGAAAGGGAGTCCTCCATCTTGCACCAAGTTCCAAGGAGCTGTCTGGACATAGTAGATGTTGATCTTAAGTAGAAGGGTTTCCCAACAGTGGGCATATTCTCAAAGGATGTTCCATCCTATCACAAGGACATTTGCTTAATGACTATGTTCATAGCAGCTTTATTCATAATAGCCAGAAACTGGAAACAACCCAGATGTCTCTCAACCAAAGAATGGATGAATAAGATGTGACACATTTACACAATGGACCTGGGTTAGAGCCTACAGGTTCCTTGATCTCTATAAGTTCCCATGAGTCCTGGTCAGTTGATTCTGTGGGCTATGTTCTCATGGCATACTCAGCTGTTAAAAACACTGACATCATGAAATTTGCAAGCTAATGGATGGAACTAGAAAGAAAAATCATTCTGAGTGAGGTAACCCAGACCCAGAACAATAAGCATGGTATGTACTCACTTATAAATGGATATTAGTTGTAAAGTAAAAGACAGTCATGCTACAGTCTCCATAAACATACAAGAAGCCTACAGAATGCCAAATAGACTGGACCAGAAAAGAAACACCTCCCATCACATAATAATCAAAACACCAAATGCACAAAACAAGGAAAGACTATTAAATGCAGTAAGGGAAAAAGACGAAGTAACATATAAAGGCAGACCTATCAGAATTACACCAGACTTCTCACCAGAGACTATAAAAGTGAGAAGATCCTGGACAGATGTCATACAGACCCTAAGAGAACACAAATGCCAGCCCAGGCTACTAAGCAAAACTCTCAATTACCATAGATGGAGAAACTGAGATATTCCATGAAAAATCCAAATTTACACAATATCTTTCCACAAACCCAGCATTACAAAAGACATTAGCAGAAAAGCTCCAATACAAAGAGGGAAATTAGACCCTAGAAAGAGCAAGAAAGTAATATTCTTCCAACAAATCCAAAAGAAGATAGCCACACAAAGATAATTCCACCTCTAATAACAAAAATAACAGGAAGCAACAATCACTGTTCCTTAATATCTCCTAATATAAATTCCCCAATTAAAAAACATAGGCTAATGGACTGGATATGTAAACAGGACCCAGCATTTTGCTGCATGCAAGAAACCCACCTCAGTGACAAAGACAGACACTACCTTAGAGTAAAAGGCTGAAAAACATTTTTTCAAGCAAATGGTCCTAAGAAACCAGCTGGAGTAGCCATTCTGAAAACCTCCATCCAAAGAACACAAAGGGAGGGACTCATGGCTCCACCTGTATAGGTAGTTGAGGGTGGCCTTGTCAGGCATCAGTGGAAGTGGAGGACCTTGGTGCCTGAAAGTTTGGATCCCATAGTGTTGGGGAATTCAAGAGCAGGGAGGCAGGAATCGGAGGATGGTGGGAACACTCCCTCATAGAAACTCCCAGAATTATATGGATTAGACATGACAGAGGCAGGTCGCCAGAAGACTAGATTCCAGAATTCAAACAAAAAATTATCTTGATACTAAAATTTGTTTTGAGAATTGTATATTGCAGAATACACAGCCTTGGTGTATCTACTCATCAAGCAAGCTGAGCAGACCTGCTCGAACCTCTGATGTCCTGGAATTCCACCTGGATGCAGTGAAGACGCAGACATCAGAGGCTTATCAATTTATTCTCCCCCCCACCCCTCTTCTAATATCTCAAGGCCTGTAACCATCTTGAAGAAGTTAATGAAGAGTTGGCGCCTCTATTCCCTGGGCTTGGGGACTGAGGTGGTTAATATTGTTATTCTCATAGGCATAACACATTTAGGAATACAAGGCTTAGATCCAGGCCTTCTTTAACTCTTTTAACTGATTCAAGATGGTTAGCCTGTGAGTTAAAGGCCTATAGCAAATTCATGGCTCTGAGTTTATTGTTAGGGTGTTTTCTATATTTTGTTTAGAAATAGCTGAGAGGAGTTAACAGACAACAGTCCAGACTGCCTTACATGGATAGTTGGTTTTCAAAACATCAGAAGTCCACAGAATTGATGCTATAAACATTTCTGTATTAATGTTCATTTTGATTAGAGACCCATCTGCTCCTGACAGCTTCCTGTCTTGGATCCTAAGAGGAAATGGAGCATCTTTGGAGTTATTCCAGTTGTGGTGAGACAGCCACTAGGCAAGAATTGCCTCTTTTCATCTACAGACAAATTACTGTCCAGAAAAGGACACACTTGCAGAATAGTTGACTGATTATATCTGCCAAGACAGAGTAATCAGCCCTTAATAATTCTGCATCACTAGGTCTGTCAGATGATCCTGGGCCAGAAGGACTAGCAGTAAAGTTTAACCGAGTTGGTGTAAGCATTAAACTAGGGAGTGTGTGCAAAGTGCTTCTGTCAGCTATTGCAATAATTATTACACCAGGCTCTGTTTTATTGGGTTAGCTTATTCCATGCTTCTTCAAAGTCCTGTAGGCTAAGAAGCAAAGTAATTCAAGCCATGGCAATTGGAAAGAAAGAGCCAGGCATGGTGTGATGCATGCCTGCCATTTAAAAATTGGATTGCATGTATGTTTTATTGATTGAATTTATTTTCATCATTATTCATTATTGTTACTGTTCTAAATAATAATAAATATCTAATAAATATTATAATAGAGTCTCAATTTTGGCAAAATAGCTTCAGGTATAAAAGTGTTATCAAGGTTCTAAAAGTAATATCAGTCAACATAACTTTCCTTTTTCTGCTTTAGTTTGGGATATGAGCAGATCAGCTTAGGGATGGAAGAGGTCACCTTCTTGGAATTTATGTGAACAGGTGCCACATGTTTTCTCTTATAATAGCTTTTCTTTATATATCAACTTGAACCCTCTAATAGGTAAATACTTTTTTGAAGATAGAGTGAAAGCAAGAGCTCGATCTGCGTATAATGTGGTAATATCTTTATATTCTAAATGATACTTGATGTAGCTTCAGTTACAAATGAAATCTTACACATTTCTGCATCTTACTCATGTACTTTATTATGTGCACATGTGTGCACAGTGTGCCTGTGGCAGTCAGAGGACAACTAGGGGGAGTTGGTTCTCTCCTTCTGCCATGTGGGACCTGGGCATCAAACTCCCATTGTTGGTTTGGCAGCAAGAGCCTTTACTTGCGTCCAACCCATCTTTTTGGTCTACAAATGGAAATCATTAAACTTGTATTTCCTGTAGAAATGGTGATGGCATGGCGGAGCTGCACTCCATTCCTCCGTGTGAGGATGACTGTGTGGTCAGACCCTTATGCGCCACCTTGGAGTCCAGACAAACAGAGCTTCAAGGTAGTCTCACTGATTTCAGGGAAGAATCACCCAGAAGTGGACCCCTATATTGTGAGGTAAGTCTCTGATAACATGTTAGGGATGTAGATTTTTACGTAGAGGTAGTTTAATGGTAAATACAACAAACAACAGGGAAGCAGATTTCTTTCTAGTCCTGTGGAAAGGTTTTGATTTTCCTAAACCTTTCTCTTCCATTTAACCCTTACAAGACAAAAGAGGCGAAGAGCTCGCTTTGCTTTGACTCTCCCATGAATTGTGTCTCTTTCATTTCTTTATTGAACATGAAGAACGTCCATTATAAAAGTATACCCCAGCCTTTCATATATTTTTTTAGGTTGAACTTTTACCTTTTTTCATTTTTCTTACATATATTTATTTATGCTTCTTTAATCATCTTTTGGTTCTCTGTGCCCACAGATGTCACAAGAGGGCATTAGGTCTCCTGGTGCTGGAGTTCCAAGTGGTTAGGAGCCACTTCACGAGGATGCTGGGAGCTGAACTTGGTCCTCTGGAAGGGCAGGCAGCAGTTAAGGTAGCTTAACTACTTAGCTATGCTTTACTTACTTTTGAATTATTCAGCTATTCTTAAAAGTTACACTATGCAGTACGAGAACCCTAAAGTTTATACTGTTGAAAATCTGACAATTTTCTAATTAAAAAGAAAAGTATCATTTTTTTTTTCAGCTGTAGTCTCTGATATGGAACGACCTACTGCTTCAAAATAGATGATTTTGCCTGTGCTAAGTTTTCCGCATTTCATTCTTCTGATGAGAAGGATAAGTTAATTTGTCTAAATAAAATACTTAATTTTTGTGTATTTAAAGAAGTGCTTCCTGAGTATGGTGGCACATACCTAGATTATCAGCCCTCAGGTCTTAGACCCTGGAAGGTCAAGGGAGGCCGGGGCTCCACATTGAGATTAACTCAAAAATCCCTGAACCACTGAAAATCTTGCAGATGATCTTCTTAACATCCTTATGAATTCTTTGTGAGTTTGTTTAAGCATGAAGTAAAAAAGAATTTTTTTTAACGTTTAAAATTGTTCTGAATAGAATTATAATCACAAATATGACCAAATTGTCTGTGCTGTTACATGGAGGAGTACATATTATTTTTGGAACTTTCTAGAGCTACTCAAAAGTTTTAAATTATAAAAGCATGATGTGATAAATAACTATGAGTAGAGAAGTAAGCTCATGTTCCATAAAGTATTCACACAAGTGCTCACACAGATACAGCACACACAAACACTAACGTGTCTGCCGGTCACAGCTTAAACTTAAAAAACAAAAACCAAAAGAGTGAAAAGTAGGTTAGTTGTTTGTAGCTCTGCGTTGCACACCTGCCAAGGTAGGCACTCATGGGTTCATCTCCAGCCCTTCAGAACCAACCAACCGACCAACCGACCAACCGACCAACCAACCAACCAACCAACCAACCAACCAACCAACCAACCAATCAACCAACCAATTGACCAATCAACCTACCTGCCCACATATAAAAGCAGTATTAGGGCCAGAGATAGAATCAACCAAGGAGTATAAAAGAAATGGAACCTCTGCTTTCTTTCTTTTTCCTTTTCCCTAGTTTGCTATGTCTTAAGGTTACAGACACCAAGAAGGAAATAGAATAAGACTTAAGAATGCATAGGAATTTCAAATTTTTAGAGAGTCAAATATAAAGTAGTGTTGACACCATACAAAATTTATACACTATTTCTAGGCAAACTTTAATTTTTCAAATTTGAGCCTTCTGAACACATGAAAACATACCTAGAATATCATTTCAGTGAATCTGGACTGCAAGATAAAAAACCATTCAGGTGAAAACACACAGGATGTGGATGTGTGTGCTTGGATGTATATAGTTAGAAACCCCGAATAGTGCTAGCGTAATGGCTATGAACATAGTATGCAAAACAGTGAAGAGTTTTTACATTATTTCTAGTCGGAAAACATTTTACTAAAATGAACAAGATGCATGACAATAGAGTACGAAAACATGGATCTAGCTAGAGAGCACCCCAGACACTAACGTCTCTAGGGTGCATTGCCTCTTTTCTTTTGCAATGCTTTCATGAGGTCTGACATAAAATCTTGCTCATTGTTCCCTGCTGCAACGGGGAGTCCTTGGTTCTCTTGCCTCTTGGGGGGCACTGGGGGCCTTTTGGGGGGCAACGGAGATGATTTGGTCATCTCCTGGGAGAGACAGGGTGGGGGTGGTGGCGGGGGTGGCAATGCAGAGTCTTCAACAGCTACAGGCGGAGGCGGTGGTGGCACAAAGTCTGGTGGCTCCTCCTGGTAGGCTGGGGGTGGGGGTGGCGGTGGTGGGAGTAGCCCACTGTTATCCTCCTCGGGCGGTGGGGGCGGGGGTGGTGGCAGGAAGTCCTCAGGCGGGGCGGAGAAGGTGCAGCTGCCAGGGCCCTTGGCCTTGGGTGGTAAGGAGGGGCTGCCACAGGTGTCAGAAGATCGTCTTACTGGAGGGGGCGGCGGTGGCAGGCTAGACTTCGGGCGGTGGTTCTCCTTGGTTGCTCCTGGGGAATGGTTACCCAAGCCTTGTTTTTCAACCTTTAACAAAGTGACAACAGAGCTCTTACAGTTCTTGACAATATCATCATGAGGCATTGTTGCCGGTGGGGTTGCCCCATTCCCTCCTACACTGGGTCTACCTGTGCTCATGAGCTCACCTTTCTCCAGGCACAGGGCTGATTCCAAATGTCTGTCACATCGTTAGATGTGAGTACTAAGACAGCACTCTGTAATTGGGCATTTCAACCACGTTTACTTTAGGAAGTGTTTACTGTCTTTAGGTCAAGCACAGACCTTCCCTAGCAAGTCTTACACAGAAATTAAATGTTTCTCTAAAGTATTAATAAATCCTAACTCAACTCGAACTGAAAGCCAGGTGATTCTCTATGACTCCCTACTCCTGACCTAAGGCAAGCTATCAGTGTCCTGGGCATACGCAGGAACACAATTTTAGGTGTGTGTGCATGTGAGTGTGTGTGAATGCGCTTGTTATGCCCAGGTCTCGGGACCTCCAAGAGATCTCAAAGAATTGCCATATCGGCTGTAAAGATGCATAAGAGCCTTTATTTCAAACCCAGGTTTGGACCGCAAGTTGCACGAAGCGAAGTTGCCCATATCTAGGAGGGTAGAGGAATATATACAAACAGGTTACATAGGGGGAGGGAAGCAGCGGATAAGAAAAAGCTTTAATGTTTTTACAAACCAGTCTGGGAACTCTTAATTGGCATGATTTCTCTCTAAGGATGTATGGGTTTTGCTCTTCCCAAGGCCATAAGCCATCTGGGTTGGGGAGTGTTTGAACATTCATCAGAGGGGGTGCCAGCTTCAGGCGGCATGAAGGCTCCAGCCCTGTTTCTTTGTTTATTTATTCTCAAACTGCTATGTCCCTCCTAGGATGTGGGTGCTATTAGGGTAAGGATTTGTGGCCTTTGGCACCGGTGGCGTCTTTTGGGAGGGGTCAGGTGGTGGGAAGGGGGATTTCTATGTGAGGGGGAAGGGAGAAGGGCTGTGGCTGCAGCAAGCGCAGGCCTGCCAGGCTTCTGGGGAAGTGCTGAAGCCGGTACTGGCCTTTGGCCTTTTCGCTCTCTTGGCTCCTTCGCACTATGCCTCTGTGCCCTACTTTTGGTGGCATAGAGGTAATTAAGGAGCATTTCAGAGTGTTCACCAAAATATCTTGGTTTAAAATCTGGCCAAGAACTTGGCTAAAGAACTCACATACTCTAGAAGTGAACGGACTATTATTTTTACTAAATGGAAATAGTATTAAACTGCCTTCTAAACGTATCTCTATGTCTTTAGGTTAGTGCAGCTCAGTCCCCGTCAGAGATAAGTCTCTGCACAGTTACTACAGAGACTCACACTGGTCCAGGTGCAGAGGACGAGTGTCAGTGGAGTGTTCTGGCATAGATGGAACATCTATGTAACACACCCTGTCCCCAAGCCTCAGTTTCCTGGAGCAAGAAGGGGCAGAAAGACTGTAAGAGCCAGAGGTTGGGGAAGATGGGGGTGAAAGTACGTCCAGGACATGACAGGCCATGACCTGCATAAGATCCAGCTAGTCAACATTCTAGCACAGCTGGGACATGTACAGGAGCTCTCAGCCCTAGCCGAGGATCTACTGATGACTGATAACTACTGGGGAGGGAGAGTCAGTTTTCTTTAGGGATGTGGTCCTGGCAGGTTGACCGTGGATGGCCCTACACCCATCAGTATATAGGCAACATTAGACTCAATGGGTTATAGGAAAAAAGAGAACATAGAGGAGTACAGAAGAGTGTGTGGGAGTGAGGGGGATCTGAGAGGAGTTGGGATGGGGGAATTAGGGATAAATGTGCGTGAGATAAATTGTGAATTATCAAAGAGTAAATAAAGAATATTATGCTAAAAAACCCTCTCTTTGCTTAGATATTCTGCTTGGTTAGGATGAAGAACGGACAACTGAAGAAAGTGAGAGAAATAATCCTGTCTGGGTGACAGGTAACCATTTTACAAATCCAGCCATAAAGGATCTCTTCCTGCTGGAGAGCACATCCAATCTTTCTCTTGATTGTGGATGAAATTTCTATGCAGTATTGTTCTCAGAACAAAGGTTCCAGTTCCCAGACAGCACTTCAAAGGAGTTAATCATAAGCTTTGTCCTTGTACCTTAGAAGGTTTCAGAAGGGAGTGGCAGGAATCGGAACACCTGGTCTAAAATCGTGTGTGTGTGTGTGTGTGTGTGTGTGTGTGTGTGTGAGAGAGAGAGAGAGAGAGAGACAGAGAAAGAGAGAGAGAGAGAGAGAGAGAGAGAGAGAGAGAGAGAGAGAGAGAGAGAGAGAGAGAGCATACGTGCGCTAGTGTGTCAGGTATATACTGAACACAATCTGCCTCATGTTATAGTGAGATAAGCCCTGGAGTCCGAACACTTGACCTGGCTTAAGTTTCTCTAGACTCTAACGTCTACAGCATTCAATGGAGGACTTGACTGTGTTGATAACAATGGTTTATTAAGTAACAGTGTATTTGTGTAAATGCAACATCCCCATTAATTTCAGGCAGTTGAATTGAACGACTACATTCTGGCGAAAACCATCATCACTTTAATTTACATTTTATCAGCTTCTGTTTTATTTTTTTCTCTGCTTAACAGCTTGAACTACTGAATGTTAAATTTAGATTTTTTTCTAACAAAGTACTTTTCAATGAGTTTCAGTTTTGTTTCATTTATTTACTTATCATGCAAAACTAATAAACTTGTGATACATTTCTTAAATTTTTTGGATCAGGCAGCTTGGGTATTGGCATTCACAAAGAAATTATTTCTATTCTGGGGTTCTTTTATTCCTTTGGCTTAAAAAATACTTCTTTTTGACTAATGTTACAGAAATAATGAAAATATAACAGAAAACAATGCATGGTGAGACTGTCGGGCTTGGAGAGATTAGAGAAACAGCTTTTAAAAGTCTGAAATGGCTTTCAAAAACAACAAGGCTTCCAGTAACTACCAATATTCACTTTTACTGCTGTAGGGGAGGATGAAGAAAATTACTGAAGCTGTACACACGGACTGTTGTATGTGGTAATAGGACAGGTCCACAATTAGTCTAAGCTGTTCTGAACTACAAGAGACACTCAGTGGAAATTAAGAGTCACCTGAATTGGATTAATAACTAAATTACAATCAACTACAGGTTTTATATTAATTTAAATTAATCTTCATTAATCTCTTTTATATAAAAAGTTATGGAGGATGCTATATTACAGCCTTCCTTCCCCGCTCCTTCTCTCCCTCCCTCCTTCCCTCCTTCCCTCCTTCTCTCCTTCCTCCCTCCCTCCCTTCCTCCCTCCCCCCCCTCCCTCCCTCCCTCCCTCCCTCCCTCCCTTTCTGTCTGTGCTGGCTATGGAACCCAGGGTCTCACACCCTCACACGTTCCAGGCACATGCTGTGTCTCTGATCTGCACTCCTAGCACTTGGTTATTATCTTGAATGTTTTTTTTCCCTCACCCTGTGAATGCATTCAAGTCAATAACTAGAAAGCATAAAATGCACATTTTATAAGTGGACCCTTTTAGGAGTCTTCTGATCTGGTTTTGGGATTTATCTGGCACTTCATATAGGACTTCCGACTAATTTTCTTTTTTCTTTTCTTTTTTTTTCTTTTTCTTTTTTTTTTTTTTTTTTTCTTGAGACAGGGTTTCTCTGTGTAGCCCTGGCTGTCCTGGAACTCACTCTGTAGATCAGGCTAGCCTCGAACTCAGAAATCTGCCTGTCTCTGCCTCCCAAGTCCTGGGATTAAAGGTGTGTGCCACCACCACCTGGCTCGACTAATTTTCAATTGCTTTAATTCATTAAATAAAAATAAAACAAAACCAACAACAACCTGAAAGTCTCAAGGGCTCACTGAGAGAACATGAAGGAAATCCTTCTGTCATAATAAACATGGCTAACAAACACTTAGGATATCAAAACGCAGTGTCATTAAGGGCTGATTTTAACTTCTACCTCTAGCCTAGGAAGCTTTATGATAAAATATGAAACCATTTCCTAAATGAAATTATAGTATAGTGGCTTCCCAGTTGTTAGAATTGTATTTGGGTTTTTAAAAGAAAAGGGACCAGGACCTGCTCACATTCAGAAGGTGGGGTTTTAGGTGCCAGCTCAACAAGCTTTGAGTGGATCTGTGATTTACCTTAGTTGTTTCTATTTGTGTCAGGGCCTCCCTGAGAGGAGGACCAGCAGAAGGCGCAGCCTGGGGCATCTGACCATTGGGCTGGCTGGTGCCTGTTTTAAGTCCTGAGGGAGCCAAAGAGAAAGGAGAGAGAGAAAACATTTTTAGTGTTCTTGATGGGGAATCTGCAAATATAAAGCATTGCAAAAGGAAACATTTACAAGTATTTCACAAAGCCTTATGAAAAATCTGAGGTGTTGTTTGGGGTATGCATCTCTATGGTTAAAAAATGGGCTTTGCAGAGGGACCAAGGACACTATACAAAACCTACAGAGTCAACTAACTCTGTGCCCATGGAGGTTCAGGAAGACTGAACCATCAACCAGAGAGCATGCATGGGAGAGACCTAGGCCCTCTGCACATATGTAGCAGATGAGCAGCTAGGTGGGACTCCTAAAATGGGAACTGGGGCTGTTTCTGACTACATTGCTTGCCTTTGGATCCTTTTCTTCTAACTAGGCTGCCTTGTCTAGCCTCGGGAAGAGGAAGCAGCCTAATCTTGCTGTGGCTTGGTATGCATGGTTATTTGCCCCTCCCCCCACCAAGGTTCAGAGAATACCACTGAAAAGGAGGGGGAGGAATGTCAGAGCAGGATGATGGCTGTGAGATGCTGCCTTCTAGCCATGACCTGGCTATGACACCTATGAGCTCACACAGGTTGTGTTGACCTGCACAAGAGTGAGCCAGCCATAATTCAGGCGTAGCATAGCCATGAGCTACTGGTAGCTGGTAGCTTTGGGGGGAGGGAGAATTCCATTTTGTTAAAAATGTATGGTCACTGGTAGATTTTCTAAGATTCAGTGGATATTCCTACCTCCAAGTACATGAAGGAAGCACTAGTTAGACTTAATGTCTTACAAAAACAAAAAAAAGAATATCTGAATTGAGAGGGGTGGGTCCTGGGGGAGGGACGTATGGGGCATAGATATAACCAGGTTTCATTGTCTACATTTATGAAATTCTCAGGGATTAAAAAAATATTAAAATTGCTGCTTGAGTTGCTGACTTCATGAGATGATTCTTTGAAAAATTTTAACTTGAGATCAGGACAGAATTTCTAATGATTTCTGAAACAGCCCTCACCATACTCCCGCCAAGGTTTTGTGCAAAGGGTCACTCTCAGCAACGATGACTACAGAATCAGAATAGGGATCAACTCTGAGAAACACTGAAGATGTGCTTGCTGTGCTTTGCAGTCAACTATCCAGCCAACGGTTACCTCTCCGTGTAAGAAAGTGAATAAGCACATCCGTATTACTATGTAAGTTTATTTCATCTTCAACAAATGGTAAAATTACATCCATACAACACTTGTTTGTTTGTGTGTGTGTGTGTGTACGCGCGTGTGCTCGGATGTGTTCATGATTCATTATCAGTGAATGTTTGACTTCTACTCTTGCTTTATACTGGATACTAGCTTCTACCTATACTCCAGGCTACCTTCTCCCATGTTTAGTTCCCTTAGCTATGAAATGGGGGAGGGGCTGTAATCTACATGTTGTGGAGCAGTTACAACTTGTACATCCTGTATCAATGATTCAATCGACCACTGACCAAAAGCCTTTGAAAACAAGTGGCTTTTATTGAGCACATGCGTATTTTTCTTTGTTGTTTGTACAAAACAGTATAACAACCATGTGCTTGTTGAGTGCTTAAGGGCTTTCTAGAATCAGTCACAGATACCAAAGGGCAGCTCTCTATGTAAAGCAGAAAGCTCATTCATTAGGTACCCAATCTTAGCGTCTGGTCTTCTTAAAAATAACAAGTCAAGGTTGTATTACCTTGAGATGTGATGCCTGGCACTGGGCATGAGACTCTAGCTGTCACGTCACTGCGGAAAAACAGCAGGGCATGACCTATATCTTCTTTGAATGTCCTGCTGGGCACTAAGGTGCCTTCCATTATATGGTATTTGTATTTTGATAAAATACATCTCTTTTTACCCGACCCTAAAATCATGATCAGCACTTTATTTATGGGTTTATTGTGAAAAAGTTGTCAAAGCTTTGTGAAAAGTCACTGGTAACTAGACACAGGTATTGTGGTGCCAGGGATATGTTAGCGATCTTCCCCAAAACAGAAAGAAACTAATCTGATGCAATCACAGTAGGGCCTTTATTCTATTTGAGCTAGCTTGGGCCCCTCAGCACACTGCTGTCACTAGGACGGTCTGGTGGAGAAGGAACACCAAATATCTATCCAGCAAGGCTTTATAGAAGGCTATACGTGGGGGGGGGGTATGTGTGAGTGTGCAAACATCTAATTGGAAGATTACTATGGCCTTTAGCATAATTGGCTGGTGCTGCAAGTCATATCATAAACTTAATTTTTGCTTCCCTCTGCATTGCTGGTTGTTAGGCAGGGGCGGGCTTGTAACCTGGAGGGGGGGTGCAGGTTTGTTGGGCTGTAACCTAGAGACTGGAGCTAGGGTTTTATTGGTGTGTGAATGTGAATGTTTTTTCTGCTTTTACCTGTAGAAGGCTGAGCTGGCACGGGTGTAGCAACAGTCCCCAGGTTCGTCCACCGAGAGGCAAGGCCAGCTCTTGCCACAGCCCGCTGATAGTTATCGTAGAGAGTCTTCCCATACTAAGGAGGAAGAGAGGAAGGAAGCCATTTATTTCAAATTTTGCACTCAACTGCAAGATACATATTGGAAGAGAAAAAGGTGCCCTTCTCCTCATCCAAGTTGCATTTTATGTATTTCATTGATTGCTCTTTCAAATGTTAAATAATTCTCTGGATTGGCAAAATTAGTAAATTCTCCCACCTACACACCAGAGGACAGGGCTAGCTAGCCACAAAATTCCAATCACAAAATTCTGATCATGTAACTGTTTAGTTGAGTTAATCGGCTTCTTTTGCTCTCTCCCTTTCTATGGTGGGATCAAACTCAGGACCCCACACATGCTAGGCAAGTGCTTTATCGTTAAGGCACACACCTTTGGCCCAGTCTTGAGTTTCTTAATTGCACGCTGTGTTTGCAATTCTCCCTGTGAATCTGAACAGTTCGTTTGAAAGTCAACTGTGACTCTCATGCCACTGGACAGGTGTGTGCTTGTAGAGCAGTAAAGTGGATGACTCCACTTAATGGGGGAAGAAGGAGACCAACAACAAATAGGCGAGATAACATCTGTTCCCAGGAGTGGTGAAATGCTGGCCCCAGTAAGCAAGCTTGTTGGCTGACCCAAGAACACAGGAAGCTGTGGGCACACTCACCTTGGCGATCCTTATTCCCATAACCCACTGACTGAGAGTTCTTGCATCATCACAGCAGAGATACTTGATATACTGAGATTCCTTCTGAATTTGAGGATGCTACAAAGAAGCAGTTTTGAAGATAGTTAACTTCTTAAGAGCCCAAACCACCTTTTGAAAAAGAAACTTAAAGAAAAACTATGACAATGTATATGATTTACTGAGATGGTGGCAAATGTATCTGGTAGCAGTTTTAGGATCAGGAAGAGGCAGAGGTGTCATTCTGAAGCCCAGGCTGGCCTTGAACTCATGATCCTTCTACCTCAGTCTTTCTGGTAGCTGAGTTTACATGTTAGCATACCCAGTCGTAGGTGCTTTTAAGGATTGCTAACCTGGCAGCCCCACAGCACAAGCCTGCAACCTCACCTACTAGAGAGGCCGAGAAAAGAGGATCACCAGGTTGAGATCTGCTTGAGAAACTTAATGAGACCCTGTCTCAAAAGTAAAAGGTATGAGACAGATGCTCGTAGCCAATCAGTGGACTGAGCACAAGGTCTCCAGTGGAGAAGTTAGAGAAAGGACTGAAGGAGCTGAAGGGATTTGCAACCCATAGGAAGAACAACAATATCAACCAGCTAGACCCCTACCCCACTAGAGCTCCCAGGGACTAAAGCACCAACCAAAGAGTACACATGGAGGGACCCATGGCTCCAGCTGCATTTGTAGCAGAGGATGGCCTTGTGGGACATCAGTGGGAGGAGAGGCCCTTGGTCCTGTGAAGGCTGGATACCCCAGTGTAGGGGAATGCCAGGGCAGGGAGGCAGGAGTGGGTGGGTGGATGGGGGAGCACCCTTCTAGAAGGGGGGGGGGAGGAGGATAATAATAAAATAATAAAAAAGTAAAAGGTACTAAAAAGGCTGGGGGTATAGTTCAGTGGCAGCACACTTGCCTAGCATGTGTGAGGCCCTGGGTTCATTCCCCAGCACTATTAGGAAAAAGGCCAAGACTCTGAACAGATTTAATGTTGAAATCCTTTATATGTTATGTGTCTATCCCTTGTTGGAAATCAGGTTGCTCCTCTATCATATAAAGGGGCTTACTTAATAGGCATTTTATATTACAAAACTAGGGCTTATAAAATTAGAGTCTTATTTGTGCCAAACTTTAGTCCAGGTGTCATTTTTTTTTTTAACCAATAATACAGAGTTTTTCAATGATCTCTCTTTCCTAATGACAGTTTCACATTCACACAGGCACATCTTCTGCAGGTGTGGTGGCATTCAGAGTGTTTCTGTCTGTCCTTAAGTGACCATGGACAGTGTGTGTACAGGGGTTATATAGGCCTGTAGTTCACAAGAGAACAGTGATGTGACAGACTCAAAGGAGAAATTGCAACTCTGTTTCTCGATTCTCTTGTCCTTGTAGCTTTTGTTTCTGATTGGCTCTGGCAGATTGGGCTCTCTATTAGATGGGAACTTTGCCTGTCTTTTTTTTTTTTTTTTAAAGATCCATGGTGCTTAGCTACAGTCCGGGTAATAACTTCTATGCTTATTTATTTATTTAAACAAAACAATTGTTTAAATAAAGAAAGAAATAAATAAGCATAGCATTTACTCTTGTATCAGAAATGTTGAAGCCATTGGGTCAGAGGCTGGTAACCAAACCTAGGATCTGAAGTATGTGTGATGTCAGTTTTCATGGGTCATTGTAAATTCTATTACATTTTATTATATAAAAAAAGTACCAACTAAAACAACTATGTGTGTGAGTGTCCTTAGAGCAGATTGCTAGCCTTGCTATCATGCGCATAAACCTTAGTGGTACTAAAGATCAAAGGGATGTCAGGAGATCTGGGAGCATCTACCTCTGATTTCCAGAAAAGGAGTAAAGCAGCAATCCTTCTCTATGGCGCTGCATGGAGCTTTCCACTTGCATTCAGCAAACTCACTGACCTTCAGGAAAGTAGTTAATCATCAAGGGTGATCTAAGCATTTGAACCATGCCTTTAATATGCTGGAATATGAGGGAAAGCATATGGACTGGTTTCCCTGCAAGCTTTGTGCTTGACGTGCCCCCCCCCACCCTCACCCTCTGCATGATACATAAACCACAAGGGCTTTACTTACTCCTAAATTTATTTATTTTTGCTTTTAAAAATGTTAAAAATTGATATTTGGAGAGCTCCCTGTGTGTTTCTTGACCTACTAGAATTTCTGAATTTATATTGAGCCACCGAAGACAAGCACTATATTTTTAAGATACTACAGGAAAGAAGCAGAAAATGCAAAGAATCCCTGTCTGTGGTCTTTTAATTGGATTTCTTCCTTTACTGACTCAGAATTTGCATCATCTTGGCCTGGAAGCTAGTTCCTATGATTGTCCCTATCAGATTGCTTTTTCCTGACAACTCCCAACTAGTACGCAGACTGTTGTTGTAGTTCTCCAGTTAGGCCAGGAGATGGCGGCAAACACTTTTGGATGGCTGCCGCACACTGCATTGTTCTAGTGTTCAAAGCTTACTCAGAAATTCCCTGTGTTCAGTACTGTCAACTGTACTCCAGTAATCATGTTCTCAGAGGACCTTGAAATTGGAAACATCAATCAAATCAAGTAGTGTGATCCAGTAGCAAAAAGGATTTGTTGCATGAACTATCCTAAAGGTCAGATTGTTAAAATGTGAATCAGGCACTTGGTAGCTAGAATGTGACATTCTGTAGATGCAGCATTCTCAACAAAGAAATCTGCAAAACCAAATCAAAGTGCTTGTCATTCAGTATCAGAACCACAGATGCCTGACTTACAACGGAATGTGTGTTCTGACTAACATGTGAGCAGGACACTGGTCAGCAATTAATATTTAAATTCTTTTTAAGAAAGCACAGGGTGAGTGAGAGTTATGGCTCAGCAGTTAATAGGGCTTGCTCCACAGTCATGAAGACTACCAGTGTTTGGATCCCAGCACCCCCATAACAAGCCGGGCATTCCAGCTCCGAGTCGGGTGGGATGGGAGGATTGCTGGGGTTTACTGGCTTCCAGCTTAACTGAGAATTAAGGTTCAGGTTTAGGAATAGACCCTGTCTCAATGCAATAGGCATAGAGTCTTAGAAGAAGGTGTCAGATGCCTTTTTCTGACATCTGTGTGATGTTTTTGCTTTATCAGATTGTAATTCCTTCTCAAGATAACTTTGGAGCTATGCTGTACTCTTGTTTACTGAAAAAAAAAGAGAGAAAATGTTTCTTAGCGATGCTTAAGATATAACATGAAGGCCACTAAAATGGAAATGGCTCTTCCTTGAGAAGCCCATAGCCGTGCTGGATTGTGTCTTTTCACTTTATTGCAGTCCTCTTTCTATCAACCTGTGTGCTTAAATAAACTCTGACTCTACTTTAAACAGGCTCATCCTAAAGTCCTTTCTGCTCCAAGTCAGGGATCCAGCTTCACTGGAGTTAGAGTCTATGAGAATAAGGGAAGCTCCCAGGCTGTCGGCAGCCATTCTGACCTGCATCATCGCTGACACCCGAAATCCTATAGAAAAGTGTCTGGAAGAACAACACCCGAGCTGCACTGCTGAGCTCCTGTCCAGACTCGGCTACTTACAGCTCAAGTTCTATATCCACGAATGGAATGCTTTATAACTGTTATTCTCACTGTCCTCTCAAAATAGGGAATGGATACGGATGCACAAAATCTAGAAGGAGGCAGAGTGCTGTCTTCGACTATCCTCCTTCTGACCTCAGTAGGGAGGGACCTCAAGACCTTTACCCTTATGGGTCTTGTAGTAGGATGTTTTTCCTTTGGTTACAATTCCCTTCTCACTTCATTTATGTCTTTTGCCAAATGTCCTGCACCCCGTCCGAGGGGAGGCTGGCCCCGGCTCTGGTCAGCTCTGCTGCTCCTCTGCTGTTTGAGTCACAGCTGTACTTGTTACCTGACATCCCATCACACGCTGCAATCCCTCACACCCACTGACTCTAAACTCCAAGATAAGGATCGTTATACATTTGGTTTACTTCTGTTTGCTTCGACCTGGAATGTGCTCAGAGCACAGCTGTCATTCAATAAGTACTGAATGAATGAGTGAGTGGATGAGGTTAGCCCTCTGCCTTGCTTCAGTCCCTTTACAACCATGGGTCTGGGCTTCACCTTATGAGCACAGGATTTCTCAACAGCAGAATGTCAATATTGGGGGCCAGGTCATCCAGGTGTGGGTTTGTTTTGTACATTAGTAATATCTAATGGCTCTATCTTCTATTAGATACCAGTATGTAACACCTGGTCCCTGTCCCAAGTTATGAATATCAGAATGTCCCTAGGCACAACCAAATGTCTCCCAGGAATCAAAAGGCCCTGGATGAGAACCTCCAGGGAAGTGTTGTGCTGACTAGGCTGGTATGGTGTTCATTATTGTTAAAATTATTGATAAATTACTAAAAGCGGGTACACAGTGATAGAAAGACCAGCATGTCTAAATGAAAGCCACATAATATTGAGTCATTAATGAAGCCATGAATTCCAGACAATTATTTGATTTTGGATGAAGACAAATGATTGAATATTTGACTTGGCTGAATTATTAAGACTAAGAACAAAAGCAAACAAACTTACCTTAGTCTTAAGTCCAGAGCTCTGTGGGTCAAGAGACACTTGGCACATCAAGTGTAGTTATAAAGATAACCTACCTGCACATCTGAGTGGTCTGAGAGTCTAACTTTAAAATGTGTGAGCTGCTTCAAATCTCTGATAACACACATTTCCTCTGGACAGTATGCACCTTTAAAAGTCTCACAAACTAAACCTGGCATAGTGGCCCCTGCCTGTAGCCCCAGGACTTGGAAGGTGAAAGCCAGCGGATTAGGGGCCCCAGGAGAGCCTCAGCTACATAGCCAGCTTGGGGCCAGCCTGAGACACATGAGACTTAACAAAAAAGGTTTACAACCTGGGTAATTTTTAAAAAATCTTCTCCATTTTCTAGAAAACATTGGCAAGATCATAATTACAAAAATATTCATACAGTGGAATAAAATATAAGTAAAGAATTGGTCTGTTCTATTAATGGAATTTTAAATTAATTTGCTCAAAATATAAAACTTACATTTCTAGAATTGATAAATTTAGATAGGTTTAAATAAATTAATTTAAGTAAATTGCATAAATTTAGATAGATTTAAATTTTTAGGATTAGATAAAAGCTTTGGGGGACATAGGGTGATAGATATCACAGTATTTTGTTACTGTGGTTTAAAACTATACATTTTATAACATCATACTTAAAATTTATGAAATAACATTTAACATTGATTATTAAAAGCAAATAACAATTGAAATGGCTTAGAAGTATAAATCGGTAAGTCATAGCATACCTTTAAAACAAAGCAGTGGTCAGTGGGTGCTTTGTATTTCATTTTACACTGAATTCCATAGTAAATGTTAACATTTTCAAACTGTATAAAACACGCCAGATCTCGGGATGTCTAAAAGACAGAGAAAAAAATCTTTCTGAGAATGCAGTTGATAATTTCTCCAGATTCTTCTTGATGCTGCAACAAAAGTTCTTTTAGTAGGTAAAATATTGAATTTTTAGATAATTTATACAAATATCTTCTGAACACAGTTTTCTCTAAGTCAAGTCCTCACGAAAGATAACAATCAGTGCTGGTCCTGCAATGGAGTGAAAGATGACGTAGTTGGTTGTCCTAGCATCTGTTATGGATTCATGGCTGGTTGTCCCAGCATCTGTGTGGACTCTGGGGTCAGAAGCAACTGATCGTGCACTGCTGCTGTTAATGCAGTCACGACAGATTGATCACTGTCAGAGCTTCACTGTGACTTTTGCTATTTGAAGTCAGTAGCAGAGTTTGTGATTGAACATTAGAAAAATAAATGCATGTCACCTCAGGATGAAGAAAGAGGGGTAAATTCGATGTTCAGTAAATTAGAAACTGACTCTATGCTCTTTCAGGCTTTCTCCTTCCGCTATTAGGGTTGCCATGGAAACAGAGACCTCTCTGTGAATAAAATGTGTTGTGAAAATGGCAACCTCTAATCTACATATTTAGTTTGACTTTGACTATACACTTGTTCCACTGTCCATGTTGTCTTTAATGGCATGTTCTAGAACCCCGACTTAGTTACTAAATAAAGAATACAGGTGAAGAATATTACACTATCTGGGACAACTTACTCCTTTATGTATAGCAGGGCATTTTTCTTTTATATGTTTTTTTATTTTTAATGTTTTAATTACAAAACAACGTGGTTAAAATTATACCCTATCTATTTTCTTTTTCAGCTCCTCCCTCCTCCTCATTTTTATTCCCCCTTAGAGGTACCACAGGTAAGATAGACTGATAGACTTCTACATGTTTTAGAGGATAAGTTTTCTTTCATTGTATTTTTCTATTAATTCTTATCTGTCTGCTTGTCTATCTTCATCATCATCATCATCTTTTCATCTATAGGTTGAGCTAGACCCTCTTACGCATAGATCACACACACACATACTTGTATATACATATTATACATATATACACACGTATAACTACACACATTTATGTATATAATTGTTTTATCAATGAGGATGTAACCCAAGCCATTGTGCATGCCAAGGTTGTTCTCTGCTCCAAGATCAATATAAGGATTGTAAGAGCCAGAGGCAACATATGACTAAAGAGTGTTTTCTGGACTCAGCAGGGCAATTTCACAAATGAGTTCACAGAAATTATGACAGCGCGCACAAGACTGACGCACAAGCTCAGGCCAGACAAAACCCCAGCATGTGCTGGGGAAATGGGCACAGAGCTGCTGAGGGAGGAGCCGTCAATCTTTAAGGGTGTGACTCCTGATAGGTCAGTCACGCTCCGAAGGATTGCCAAACACTCAAGAGGATCTGGACAACGGAAGCTGGACTCAATGGGCTAAAAGAAAGAAAGAAAGAAAGAAAGAAAGAAAGAAAGAAAGAAAGAAAGAGACAGACAGACAGACGAGTTGGATGAGCAGGGAAGGGAGGTAGATATAAGTGGAGGGAAGAGAGGTGAATGTGATCAAATACATTGTATGAAATTCTCAAGTAATTAATACATTTAAATCAAGAATGAGACTTCACTCCAAACACTTTTTTCTGACTCCTTCCCAGTCCTTGTGAGGACACAGTTATTGATTTCCCCAGGACACAAGTGGATCCACAAGTGGATGATGTCTGCCCAGTACCCTGCTATCTAAGTAGAACTGTTGAACTACTATACTGTAGTTGCTCAGAGATTAACCCAGCTTTTGCCATTATAAAAAGACTGTGTATTTGAGTAAATACTTCTGTGGATTGGTCACCAAAGGGGTAACTTCTGTCCAAAAGGGCATGCATTTTACTTCCCTTTACATTGCACAGGACTTATTAAATATTCTCAACTTGGTTGTACTATTTTACAGTCCAGCTCTTCATTCCCAAGAATGTTTTTTACCCTCTCCCTCCATCACTGTCAATATTACTGATTTTATCAATCTGTTAACAAATTTACTGGTAAGGTGGAAGAGTTTTCACTGAGCTAATTTTTATATTTTTCCTGGCTACTCTCATTGAATAATATTTGCCATTTTTCTGTTGCACATGTTATCTTTTTTTTTTTGATTTGTTGAAATCTTTACATAGGATGGATAATCACACTTGGTAATATATGTTGCAAATGTCTGACTGTGTAGCTAGTCCTTAAAGTCTTGTTGGGTATTGTCATCCATAAGGAATTTAAAACAACCTCAAATAGTCAAAGTTGTCACCTTTCTCCTCTGTAATTTTGAGTTTTATTCTTGATTAAGAAATATCTTTGTGCCCTAGAATTATGAAAATATCAACTCATATTTTCTTTTATGGTTTTAGTGTAGATTTCTAAAGACATTTTAATTAAATGAGGATTTGATTTGGTTCATGTGCTGAAATAAAAATCTTTAAAGAATGGGTGTACAATTATTTCAATACTATTTATTATCTTGAATTCTCCATCATTTTTCCACTGCTGTAGAATCCTGGCTCTAAATTCCCCACGTTATTTGACTCTTTGTTGATCTGTTTATAACCGCTTTCCTTTCATTGAAATATAATGTTTAACCTGAGATATGCAATTTTAGATCAATGTTCGTCACAGTTTTAGAGAGACAGCATTTCTTTCTGATACATTTTGCAGTCAATCTTTTAATTTAAAGTAAAAAGAACGCCTTCCTCCCCTGCCTGGTCCTTTGGGCTGGGGCAGACACAGAATTGGTCTGCCCCTGTCCTGTGGAGATACTGACTCCTGAGTCATCCTAGAGGAGCCACTGCACTTAGAGCAGCCGGTAAGAACTCCATCTCACTCCCTAAGCCCCAGAGATACATCTGGGAGCCAGGGACAGTCAGGA